ATATTCTGTGACCATTATTGATTAGGTCAGTACTCCTTGTTCAAATTCCAGATTGTGTGTCTACAATACTTCATTAAGATTAACAAATCTCCTAATCAAGAGTGAATCTGCATTATTATAATCATATTTGCCAAATGAATCCATTATATTTATGCAGTTTTATTTGAAACATCTATATAAACTGGATCTAAAATTACCACGGCCTTTTCTTTGAATTTAATTAAGAATAAGGAAATTACTTGTGGTACATTAACTAATGTTAATCTTGTAATGAGCAGCTGAACTGAATCAGCATGTTTCTGATTGAAGAAGGCCCACCTGATAATTGGTATCAAGATCATAAAAAGAGAACTGGAGGAAAAGTGGAATACTATTGATTCTCCAAGAGAAGCTTTGTCATGTGGGTTTTTCTGCTATGAATTCAGCTATTATCCTCTGAGGAGCTAAGTTCATTGCTGTCATTGAGGATGACTGTGGTTCTCTTTAAAGGATCTCTGGTCCTTATTTCAAATTTCACTTCCTGGTTCCAAAGGAGATCCCTCAATCTACGGGTACAGATCATTCATCCCTCTGGTATAGACTTTCTAGATTCCACCACTGACCTTTGGGCATTTGTCATGGTTGATATGTTGTGTGAACTTGGGAAGCCTAGAAGCTTAACTATGCAACTCAGGAGTTTTACATTCTAGGTTATAAAGGACCTGCCATCACCGCTCTATGAGGCTGTTCATTTTGTCAACTTGATTAGTTTAGAAGTGTTACTAAACCTCCAGAGCCTGTACGAAAGGATAGCACAGAAATGAAGTAAATGCTACACATAGCCAATAGTGAAGAGCTTTCATACTATATAAGAAAGAAAAAGTGGCTTGTTCCTTCCATTTTGCCTTTCCACTTTTGCTGTATTCTGCTGCCTTGAACTGATGCCTTTGTGCCATTTCACCCTGCCTTGGAGCCACCTCATTATGGACTGAAACCTTCACAAACTGTGAGCTGCATAACCCTTTCTTCTTTAACTTTGGATTTTGTGCATTTTGTCCTAGCAATAAGAAAAAAAGTAACAAAATGGTATTGCCAGTGCAGGTCCTTGATACAGATTTGCATGAGAAATTGTCATGGACTTTAGGCATTCAGCTGTACTTGTGGAGAATATTGTCATCAGCTCTACATTTTTAGCTGGATTTTTGGCATCTATAGTGTGTGGACAGATGAGTTGCACTCTTCTGCTTCTGACTTTTTTGGTGATCATAAAATAATCTTATTAAGTGTTTGCCTGTAGTAAATCTATTTCCTTGAATACAATATGAATTCTGATATAATTATATTACAGCAAAAAATGTTAAAATTTCCTGTAAAAATACTGGCTAAAATTTTCTGAATTCTCTTAATAAGAATGCACATGTCATCCAAAGTTGCTGATAGCCATCTTATAACAAATTTTAGGATAAAGCTGACACCAGAAAATAGAAGAGAAGTAGGGGCCGGGGAGATGGCTCAGCGGAATAAGTGCTTCCCTGGCAAGTGCAAGGGCCTGAGTTCAATCCCCGGTTCCGCAAAAAAAAAAAAAAAAAAAAAAAGAAAGAAAATAGAAGAGAAGAAATCTATATTTTTTCTGATATTGCTAAATGTATTTTCTTTCTTTCTTTCTAGGTTTTAGATAACAGAGCAACACAGATTAAGTAGTTTAAATAATACATATATGTTTAAATCAAAGCATCACCAGGGATGATTTTTAATCTAAAGTATTTTCCCCTTGGCTTGTAAATGTACATATTATCTTGACATCATGCCACCTTTTGCTTGTGTGTATCTGTTTACAAATATTGTTTTATAAAAATCTATTCATGTTGGATTATAACTTATATGTGAGACTACATTTATCTTAATTACCACTTTTAAGGTCATGTCTATTAACACCCATGTTCTGATGTGTTTGAAGACAAAATTTAAGCATATGAATTTGACTGGGACATAATTTGTCCAAAAACAGTGAGTACTTAGACTAAAGCTACATAAAATTTATAACATTTGTGAAATACTTGACTAAAACAAATCCTTTAACTTTAAACCTATTTTAGGATGAAATTTTTACATGTTACTAAAGATATTCTAAATGATATGCCATCCTAAATTTATTATTTTCAATATAATATGTAAAACTACAAGCAACAGAAAATGATACAAGTAACATAAACTGAGGCTACTTTTTAAAAATTCTGATAAATTTGGATAGAAATTGCAATGATAATTCGAGCATGGGGGAAAAGGCTGAAATCCTAGCACTCAGGAGATCTTGGCAGGAGAATTGCCAGGAGTTTGAGTCTGGAGGACGGAGTGAGTCAAGGCCAACCAGAACTACATAGGAAGACCCTGTAATAAAAATCAAAAGACATGTACAATCTTATTGACCAGTGAACCTAGATTTATATACACACATAAAAAAGAATTTATGTATATGCATGTAAAATTTGTAATGAAATTAATGTCTATACATTTATTATTATTTATGGTTATTTTGGATAAAAATTCCCTGAGTCAGGTAATGAGTTTTCTTCTTTCACCATGAGTTCTCTCTCTCTTTTTTTGTTTGGTTTGTTTTGCTTTTTTTTTTTTTTCAGAACCGGGGATTGAACTCAGATCCTTGTGCTTGCCAGCCAAACGCTTATCCTAATGAGCCATCTCCCTGGCCCAAAATTGAGTTAACACCTGTCTTTTTTTTTTTCAGAACTGGGGATTGAACTCAGATCCTTGCATTTGCCAGTCAAGTGCTTATCCTACTGAGACATCGCCCCGGCTTGTTTTGCTTTTGGTTGAACCAGGAATTGAACTCAGGCCCTTGTGCTTGCCAAGCAAGTGCTTATTCTACTGAGCATTCTTCCCGGCCCCTCCATGAGCTCTAAATTAATTCATTTGGTCGATATTCCTTTTTGACCTTTAGACAATAATAAGTAAAACACCATTGGAAAAGATCAATAGAACTTTCAGATGTTTGCACTCTTTTAATCAACCAATAACTTCTGCATTAGAATAATTGTTTTAATTAAAAAATATGTTGCAATATTGTTTAACTTTCAAAGGACCAAAATCACTGTTGAACCATTATGTAGGGAGTCTGATAATTAGCCATAATTTTGATGTTATCAACTACTGATTTTCCTCCAATAAGTTCAAGTATTCCTAATTAAGAATTTGATAATATCAAATTTCAATTTTCAGTTATTTCTTGTGTTTGGAGTAACAACACTGGTTTACTGAGACAAAGAATATCTTAAGGCACAAGAGTAATGTATAAGAAAAAAACAAATCTGTACCTTGAAGTTTTATACTCATCTTGGTTTTCTGAACCTCCATCGATTAAAAACTGAAATCATTATTTTGAAAAATATTATACTCAAAAATATATATTTAATTTTAAAAAAAAGTAATATCTCATTCACAAGGAACACTTCAAATCTAAAATATGCATAAAATTTTCTAGAAAGATGTTCGCAAAGTGTGTACTAGCCAGTGTATAAGTTCTATTAGGGGAAGGTGTCGGTCCATAATGTCATTAGATTAAGTTTCTGTGTAACACTATCTTGAATGGCAATGTTCATTGTGAATATACACAAAGGGAAGGACAAAAAAGTGTAATAAATCTCTGTAGAAGAAAATATTTGTATGTGAATAAAAGGATTTATGTCCCTATATTTGAGTGTTAACAGTGAATTTCCTACATGAATGTAAGTGCACATAAAACTGACAACTGTCAGAGGACAGAAAGTTGACATAAAAAATGGTGGTGAATAGAATTGGAAAAGCACACTTACTGAAGTCGTAAAAAGTGAAAGAGTCATTGGACATACCACTGTTTTCAATTTGAAAAAGGAAAAAATAAATTAAACTAAAAATAATACAAGAGGCAATCCAGTGCTAGAGGGTTATAAAAATCAAAAGCTGACAGAACAAAGACCAATTGTATTTCAAATGAAAATGTAAAACTTATGAAATTCAGCCATTTGAAAGACATGATTGAAGACACAAAACTATCAAGCAATCGTTAGAAATTCAAGGTGACCAAAAATCCAACACCATGATTTTAATTCAAAAACTATCTCCTCTCCCAAGATTCCTCCTTTCTCAGATCTGGCAAGTACACATTCTGCTGGACAGTAGCCCGCTGATCCGACTTTGATACAGGCTCTCAGCAGAGGCAGCATCAAGTTGTCTGACAAGGGCAATTGAGGCTGCCGAACTCCCCGCGGTGGCAAGACCTTTGGCAGGGACCAGGAAGAAGAGGAGGGATGGGAGAGTACCAGACTGGAGATAAAGGCTAGAGGTGGACACCAGGCTTGAGTAGGGTGGAGGACTGTTGCAGGCAACAGAAATAGGAATGGTTTTAGAATCCCAGCCAGTATCTGAAAATAAGCACAGAGAAGAAAGGGAGGTGAGCCTCATAGAGGCAGCTGGAGTAAGCAAGGGCCTAGTGAACTTTGTAGGACAATCATGCAGGAGAATCCTGGGGCTTTGACAAAATGGAAGGATAGGTGTTTGCAGAAGATCAGAGGTGGGCACCAGGGGAGGTCAGGGAGAAGCAGTTGGGTAATGAGTAAACAAGAGTTTGCATTTTAAATTCAGCACAGAGTTCCTCATCCCACTCAGCACCACCTCCCTTCAAGCCAGTCTCTCCAGCTTCAGGGTATAAGAGTGGGAGGAAAGGAGAGAACGAAGGAAGGACATAGAAGGAGAGAAGGCAAGAGAGAGAGAGAGAGAGAGAGAGAGAGAGAGAGAGAGAGAGCCACAGACAGACAGACAGACAGAGAGACAGAGACAGAGACAGAGACAGAGACAGAGAGCACAACAGTCAGTATTTACCAGTATTTCTAACATTGGTGGCAGACTGCAGAGGAAATACAGTACTAGCCTCCAGCATAAGGGTGAACAAACATCACTACAAGGGAAAGTTCACCTTATGGCTTACTGAGTGAGCCTGTATCTGTATCCTCTCTACCTGTTTTGCAAGCATGAAGAAGCCTGATGCACAGGAGGCAGAAGGACAACAAACCAGATCAGCTGCAGGACGGGCAACTATGTCTGCAAACTTCACAAAGAAGAAAGCTTCCCAGAAGAAGCAGAGGGGCAGACCTTCATCCCAGCACCATGAAAACATTGTGGGCTGCAGGAATTCTCATGGATGGAAGGAAGGAGATGAGCCCATCACCTAGTGGAAATCTCTGCATCATGCCAGAGTCCAGTGAGTCTCCTCCAGCACACAGCAAGCCGGGAGTTGTAGGTGGTCTGATAGACGAGCATGTGGAATATACCAAAGAAGATGGCTCCCAAAGGATTGGCATGGTCATTCACCAAGTTGAAGCCAAACCTTCTGTGTATTTCATCAAGTTTAATGATGATTTCCATATCTATGTCTATGATTTGGTGAAAAAGTCCTAAACACTGAGGCAAAATTTACCACGTTTTTGGACATAAATCCACAATTTGTAGATAAACGAAAAATTGCTGCTTTTTCCCTGTATTGAAAGTTTGAGAATCTTTGATGAGCAGTAAAATTGTTGTTTTGTTCTGATAAAATACAAATTTATGTGGCTGTGACATCCTGTTTCACGCACTTTCTGTTGAAAAGATTGAGTGTGTTTCACGAATGTTCATGAAAAGAAGGAACAGCTGTCACTTCAGCCTGTAATTAAAATAAATCAAAAAAGCTATCATTTATGTGACAAAGACATGGGATTTTTTTGGCCTGGTATAAGGGGGATGGGAAGAGAGTACTGATTGGTTATAGGGGAAAGGAGATGAAAATGCTACTCTTTAAGAAAAGGGAAAAGGGATAGGAGAGGGATCCCCATTGGAAGAGGGATGACCTGGAAGGTAAAACATTCAGCTGGGAAAGGAGTGAAGAATAACAAGGAGTGAGATCCTGGGACTTGGAGGAAAGCACAACAAATTGAGCTCTTCACCAAAAGTTTCTTCCAAAGGTCCAGAGTAAGGGGAGAAAGATGTAGATGGTAGATATCTGGAAAGAGATACTGGTCTGTCATGGGTATCAGGCCAGAAAGGAAGTGATGTTGAAGGAAGAAAAATTGTAAAAAGAAAGACTGAAGGAGGAAATGAGATTCCAGTAATAAGAGGTGTGGTGTTTGGTGTTTATAAGGAATGAGCAGTCCCAGAAATCAGTTGCAATCCTAGTAGTATGCACTTTGACCTTCCTAGCTTCATGAACAAAGGAAGGGTGTACTATTTAAAAATGCATATGCAGTGAAAGTTCTGTAGAAGAATATTTTTATGTGGATGATGCAGATGAGTTAAGCATGAGCCATGTTTATAACTTTTGTTTCAGCGAGTTTGTGCCACACCTGCGGAGCAGAAGCTCAATTCTCAGCCCAAACTCACTACACAGTGCTCCATAAACTGGGCTGTGGGAGAATATTCTATCCAGAAAAATGGAACGTTGCTGCAGCCAGGTACAGTAGTAACATCTCTGGTCTTCCTCCTGCTGGGGCATCAGATGATTGGGCCTAATATCTATCCCAGGCATGAGGTATACTTGATGGTCTATGCTTCTTTCGTTATCTTCCTGAAACCTCATTTTTCTCCAATCAATGCTCCATCAAAAGCAATTTTGACACTAGTAGCCCCTTTCTCTTTTGACTCCCCCAATCTCCAAAGCCTATGTCTACTAACATTCCACTGTTAATTCCTGGACAGTGTACATTCCCCACAAACTCATGAGGACCTGTATTGAAAAGGTGTACATTTTTTTTCCAGGTGATGTAGTTGCCATGAAAGTTGGGCTGCGAAGTGTGACTTTGTGTAAGTAATTTGTTTGACTGTTTGCTACATGGAGGTATGGTGGTTAGTGGACAAAAAGAGAGCCAACCCCAATAAAGTCCCTCAGAACTGTGGTGTCCTGTGCATGGATCTAAGTTCTTTTTTTTCCTCTCTATCATAACAGAATGTCCTGAGATCCTTATGAAAATCCCTTCTCTTGATCCTGTGACCCACTCAGTATAAAATCATACCTCTCGGGGCCAGGGAGATGGCTCAGTGGAATAAGCGCTTCCCTGGCAAGCACAAGGGCCTGAGTTCAATCCCCGGTTCTGAAAAAAAAAAAAAAAACATAACATAACTCTGTCCCCAAATAGAAAGTTCCAGTAGATTGTTGTTGCTTAGGCAGCCATAACTCATTGGATAGTAGGAGTGGTCTAGGACCTTCCAGGAGTTTAAAAGAGATCATTAACACAGTTTGTTCTCTCCACCTAACATTAAGCCAACATTCATTTATTGATTTATGAGCGTTGTGTTCAAGAATTACATAAAGCAATTCCACCTCAACATCACAGAGATAATTTTTTTTTAATTTTTATTTATTTATTTATTTATTTATTTATTTTTTGGTGGAACCGGGGATTGAACTCAGGTCCTTGTGCTTGCCAGGGAAGCACTTATTCCACTAAGCCATCTCCTGGGCCCCAGAGATAAATTATTTTCTTTCATACATCACATAATTTTGCTCAGTCAACACCTGCATGCCCACAGGGACCAACTTTTAATGGTTTTCATGTCATATTTTGCCTTTTAGTTTTAACTGCTTTCTATTGTAATTCAGGCATTTTGTACTCTGGTAAAATTCACATGACATGAATCTGTTTCCTGCTTCTGTTAGAAATTGAAAGCAGGAAAAACAAATCAATAGCTGGGGCCAGCAAGGGAGCTCAGAATTCTAAAGCACGCACTTAGGCAAGGCTAGGCAGGCAGAGTGGAGTGCAGTTCAATCCCACCTACCACTTGCGGGCCCAGCCCTACCCTCAGGGTGAGCTGAGCTGGCCAAAAAACAAAGCAAACAAAAAATCAAAACAGACAAGCAGAAAACAATTCATCTGGGCTCAACCCTCGAGCTTGCAGACACTGCCTGTCTGCTTGGATTCCTGGAGCCCTGTCCCTGGCACCTGAGTCTGTACGTGACCTGCCTGGTATGTGAGACAACCCAGGGCCCCTCTGGATCCCGAATAGACCCAGAGCAGAGGCCCAGCATGAGTGAGACAACCCAGGGCCCGCCAGATCCTGAATAGACCCCGAGCACAGGCCTGGCGCATGAGTGAGAGGACCTGGGCCACTGGATCCTAAACTGACCCAGAGAAGAGGGCTGGTGTGTGAATGAGACCACCTGGGGCCCAATGGATCCTCATTTGACCCAGAGTGCAGGTCCAGCAGAGAAACCTTCAGCAGAACTCCTTGCAAAGAGGCTAGAGGCAAGACCAACCCAGCTGATTCACGAGGAGAAAATCTTGCCAGAGTGACAAAAAGGGCTCAACTCTAATGGATGCAGCAGAGAGAAGTGGACCACAGCAGCCAGATCCAAGCAACACCCACCGGGAGGAATCTGAACTTCGTAGATCCGGACCTGGTGCTAAGGTAATAACTCTATCTAAGCTCTACACCAAAGATCAGAAAACAGTGGTACACAAAATGACAAAGAGAAGGAACAAAATGCAGTCTCAGGCCCCGAGTCCACCTAGTACAAATGCAGAAGACACTAGCATTGAGAAAACTGGAAATCGCATACCGGATATCTCTGAAATAATAGTGTTGACAGTAAAGAATCAACTGCAGAAAGGTATAGAAGAAATAAGATCAGAAATAATTTCTGAACTAAAAAATGTAGTGATAACTATAATCAAAGAAGTATTAAGTGCTTCTAAAGAATACGTTGATAAAAAAGTAGAGCAGAATATAAAAATGTTGGAAACTTTGAATAAGCAATCTAGGAGAGAAATAGAATTTATGAAACAGGTTCAAAGTGATATACAGGAAATTAAAACCTCAATCACAAGCTGGCAAAACTGTTTGAATGAAAGTGAAAATAGATTTTCTGACCTTAAAGACACTATTGCAGCTAGTGAAAAGTAAGAAAAGATCTTGTAAAAACAACTAGGATGCAGGAAAAAATAATTCAATACCTACAAAATCATGCAAAGATGAACAATGTGAGGCTAATAGGCATCAATGAGAAGGAAGGAGTTAATACAAATGATATAAAAAGAATATGGTCAGAAGTAATACCAGAAAACTTTCCAAATACGGGGCAACAATCTGACTTTCAGGTAACCAAAGAATATAAAACTCTAAATAACATCAACCCAAAAAAACCCACACCCAGACATATAATAATCAAGATCCAAGAAATTCAGCACAGGAACATTATACTAAAAGACGCTAAAGAAAAGAAACAGATCACATTAAAAGGAAAACCCATCAGAATAATGGCAGATTTCTCTTCACAAACCATCAAGTCAAGAAGAGCATGGAGCAAAGTACTTCAAGTCTTGCAAGAAAACAAATTCCAATCCAGACTGATATACCCTGCAAAACTCTCTTTCAAGTATAATGGAGAAGTGAACTATTTCCATGACAAAGAACAACTAAAGAATTTCATGAAGACAAAGCCAAGCCTACACAGATTACTAAATCATGCTCTAGAGAGGGAGCAAATTGATCACAGCCTCGTGAATGGGAATGGAAAGAACCCACCAAATAAGGCAAACAATTAAACACAGGAGAATAAGAGGTATACAATAGTACTCTTTCAGTTATTCTTTTGTGTACAGCAGCAAAATATTTCCATCAGCACACTCTACAAATGGACCTCTCTTCCACTCTATGGGTCATGATTCCACTTGAGTCTACAGAGTGGATTTCAAAGAAATAGCTGTAGCTCAGACCCACAAGTGATGCCTAGCCACCAGTAACTGTCACAGTCATTATGCATGTCCACAACACACTAGAACTTTGTGTGATATCCTATCCTCAAACTTTAGAAGTGGCGGTCATTCATTTGCTATTCCAGTATTTATCTTATGTTTTACTCTTAGTACTTTGCTATCATGAATACTTTTCCTTAGTTCAATTGTATTGAATCATTTAATTTTTAATTTATTTGTATTTTGTTTTCTGAATATTGCTTATTCTTAATTTTTGTTTCAAGATTTATACTATATCTTTGACTTACAATTTATTTAAAAGACATCATATGATGATCTAGTATTAGAAACTTTAAAAAGTATATTTCCATTTTCTGTTGACTTTATATTACTTCTTCCCTGTCTTTTACACACACATACACACACTTGTATAAAAAAGTAAGTGCATAACCCAACATAAGATTGGTGCCGTTTCATAGAAATCTGAATTGACCTTTAAATAAGGGTTCATCTATTATATTTTTATATAGTCCTGGGTAACTATCACATTGAGAGTACTTTATTGTTCATCCAAGATCATACTGCAACTTCTCTTCCCTTTTGAATTATGCTCTTTGTTGTTTCCTATATGCTACTACTGGAGGTATTAAAATATTTCAAGTTTGTGTAACTAGAAAATCTTACTTTTATTTTTCAAAGGTATGTTTGCTAAGTATAAAATTAAAAGAGTACAGA